AATGTTAATACTTGATATAAATGCAGCAATAACTGCTAAACCTAAAAATAAAAAAAAATTTCTTAAATAATATTTAATAAAATTTTTTTTTTGAATATTTACCTTGTGGAACTGTTTGTGGATAATATCCACCGCCCATTAATAATAAACCACCAACAGCAGTTATACCACTAATAGCATTTGTAACACTCATTAATGGACTATGTAAAGCTGGTTGTACACCCCATACTGTATGATAACCAACAATACCCGATAAAGCAAATGTTGTAATCATATTTGCAAATTGGGGATTTGGTGAAATAATACCTAAACCAAGAAGACCACCAATACTACTTGTATATATTAATGAATTTTTTAAATATTTTGTAAAATAGTTTGGTGTTAAAACTTCAGCAGCAAGTTTTTCTGCAGCTTTTTCATCTTTTTTAGGTTTTTTTGATAGAGGAGTTTCAATTGCTGCTCGTGCTGGTGGTGGCCACATTAATTCTCCTTCACGTAAAATAAGTGAACCACGTACAACTTCATCATTTAAATCAATATAATAATGATCTTGACTTCCAATTGATAAAAGAAATTTTGAAATATTATTTGCATATAAACCTGATGCTTGTGCTGCTAAACGTGATGGAAGATCTGCATAACCAATGTGTGTAACATTTTTATAAACATATTTTTCTCCTGGACGTGTTGTTTCAATATTACCACCAGCTTCAGCTGCTAAATCGACAACAACTGAACCTGGTTTCATACTTTCAATCATTTCCTTGAAAAAAAAACCATTGAAATATTAAATCATTCTTATTTTCTTTTAGGATAACTAACTTTTGTAATTAATTTTGGAGCCGGTTTGCCTAGAAAAATAAATGTGTATAAGATATATTTTAATGATGTTGAATTAAATACCGGGAATTAAAGCTGTTGTAATAATAATATCAACTTCTTTAGCTTGTTTAGAAAATAAAGCCATTTCAGCTTCGATAAATTCTGGTGACATTTCCTAAGTTATATGTTAACATTTAGATTTTTTTTTTAATCAATTAAAAATTAAATCATACTTTTGCATAACCACCGGTTCCTTCACCACTTTCACTACCCTAAAATATTCATAACAATATATTTATTATATCAATCAAAAAAAAAAACAAAAATCTTTACTTTAAAATTAAGTTCAAGAAATTCAGCACCCATCGATTGCACTTGCTCTTTTACAGTTGGACGTGTATCAAATGCTCGAACAACTGCGCCCTAATTAAATAATGAAAAAACAAACATAATATTTTATACTTTTTTATCAAGTAGTTTTATTAACATCTCCCACTCCTACAAAACTGAAGCCCATCCTATCCGAGTCAGCACAAAATAGCAATGTAAATCATCGAAGAAATTTGTTCATCGCTTGCCGCTGTACCTAATTTCATTTGTTCTGTATGTTTTTTTTTTATTAATGAACAAAGTTGTTCAGGAGCTGATGAATAGGTATGCTTTAATACCATTCTGTTAGGTTTCTTCGTGTTATAAAATTATAGACAGTCTAGAAATGAAACAATGTATGAATGATGGTCAGCTGAAATCACATGACAGTTCATCAGACTCAAAAACAAGTACCAGTATGAGATGAATATGATACTCATTGTTGAAATACCCATAAGATTTGAACATGCAAGCAACGGTTTCAAGAAAATAGCTGAGTTTTATAAAAGTAGACTAAGGGTTTTCGGGAGCAGGAAACCCAACCTATAGAACATTTGTTGAAACTCTCGAGTTCGATTCTCTCGTTTGAGAAAAAGGTTTTGTTCTCACAGATTAGTCAGATTTTTATAAATTTCAGCTATTTTCTTGAAAATTAATCCCCTCCGTCTAAAAAAGTTGAAATGAAGCTAAGATTAACCTAGTTTCATTATGCGTTCACCGTCTCAATCGTTATTTTATATGTCCGTGTACGCCGCTTTACTTAAGACTGGTGGCAACAGCGATCATTGTCGTCGTTGCATCCTTAATCAATTCCATAGAAATGAGAAACTCTCGTTTAATACTACAGGGCTTACTTTATACTTCTTTCATGATAATTGAATTATACCTCCTGAACTGTATAGCAGCTTCTAAGATGACGTCGCTCGAAAGAGCTGTATCGTTATATACTTCATAGAAGTTTTTTCTCAAACCGAAGCGCACTTTTGATGTACCTATATTACGACCCACGAAGTGCTAATGACTTAAGCCCTTCGGATCTAAAATTTTCTCATCCTGGCCTAGCTTACTGAACGTTTTTAGAACACGAACCGATCGATTAAAAGGACAAGTGGCGTTAAGGCCATTTTTCTGCCCCCAATATTTTTCAAAAAGAATTACAGATTCTGAATCAGCATTC